TTCTATTATGATTTTCTTATAAATTTACTATGTAAAGTTAAAGAAAAGTTAGTTTTTTAATAGTTCTGCGTCGTAAGCATTATAAAGAGGGGCAATTGTTAAGCACTCAAATAAATCTCAAAAAATATAAAAAACACCAAGAAAAATATAAAAAAAAGAAGAAAAAAGATTTAAAAAATATAATCAAGAGATACAATTGAAAAATGAGAGAGAAAAAAGACTACAATGAAGCGATTTACGATAGGGGGCCAAACCGAATTTTAGCCAAAAAACCTTAAAATATCAATATAAAATCCCTCTTTCTCCAAAAATTTTTAAACTCTCTCTTTACAAAAAAACCAACCAACTACCTCCCCTTTTTCCGAACTTCGACCAAGTTAGGCCCGAGCACCTAGCCGATAGCCCCATATGCTCGCCTGGTGCGCCAGCCTGTATGCTAGCTTGTGCCCTGTGCCGTACACCCGTGCTCCCTAGTGCTTGTTCACCCATACACCTCGGGTACCCTAACGAGGCCTTACTCGCACCCCCACGTGCCCTAGCAGGGTAGCCCATATGCCCGCATACCCTAATAGGTTAGTCACTCTCCTATGAATCTAGCATCCACACCGGACTCTAACAACAACATCGTTAAATTTCCAACCTAGATCTAGTCACTAACCACCTGTTTCGCTTCACATGGATTCTAGATCAACAATAGCCAGCCGTGGTTCCTCCCCGATTGATTGAATAATCGATCTCTATCGGGATTGAAAAGGGCATAATCGACCCCAATTCAACAAGTCAAATTCATTATCGTCGTTAACAATAATTTATTTTTACCTTTTTATTATTTTATTTTTATTTTAATATGTATTAAATTAATTTCGTGCTGATGTGTCTTTAATTAGTTGAATTATTGTGATGTTCCTATAAATTAATTATATTGTTGATGTGCTTATATGATTTGGTTGATGCATTTATTCAATAAATACTTGTTATTACTTGTGCAAAACACGTATTTAAGTCGTTTTTGCTTATAGTAATTTTAAATCGTTCACATGCTAAATTTATCTAACAAAATGTAATTTCGGGTCATGCTAGTTTGAAACTTGTTGTTTGGGTTATTTTGGTCAAATAATATCTAATTTTTGACGTTGTCAATTGACCTAAAAAATATGATCCTTGAGTTATGTTGGTTCGAATCTCGTTTTGTCGATTTTGTAAATTTATCAATTTTTGACAATTTGTCCATTTTGCTTATTTTGCCTAATTGTCGATTTTGCTAACTTATCGATTTTTGTCAATTTGTCTATTTTGCTTAATTGTCATTTTGCTAATTTTTGCCAATTTGTCCATTTTGCCTATTTTGCCAAATTTTGTTGATTTTTTCAATTTGTCGATTTTGCCTATTTGTCGATTTTGCTTATTTGTCAATTTTGTCGAATTACCAATTTTGCCTATTTTGCCTTTATTTGCCAGTTTGTCCATTTTTGCCAATTTTGCGTATTTTTACCTAATTGTCTATTTGTCGATTTTGTCTAATTTTGTTTGCTTAATTTTGCCAATTTGCCTATTTTTTAAGATTTATTTTAATGTACTTCATTTAAACTGCATTAGCCATATATCTTTGCATTTATCATGTCTTTTTATTTTTTAGCTATTCACTATAGAGTGAGGACAAGGTCCTTGACCAGCTAAGTCCTAAAATCACTCGATTAGTGGGTAAATGTTTAAAAATATGTATAGATTTTCATTATAAAAAAATTAAAAATTAAAAATCAAATCAATATTGTATGCAATGAAGCTTGCCTTAGGCGGGATGGAGTAGAATGATTTTTAATCTTCCATACACTAATAAACCCATAGGTGTAAAGTAAGATTTGATGAAACTCCTATGTCCGCTAACACCATCATCAATCGAGTACGTCATCATCTATCCGATATGTGTACTATTTTTAAGCCTAAATCTTTATCTAGTGTTTCATTTATGTAGAGACTTCGGGCTTTAGGCTTGCTGATATTATTAGTGCCTTTGGACGGAGGTAAATGGGTTTGGTGGGTGCCACCTTTGGATGATCGTTACAAGCTTAATATGGATGGATCTTCAATAGATGGTGTTTGTACTAATGGGGGTGTCATTCGTAATTCGGGAGGGCAAGTCATGGCAGCCTTTGTAAATAATTATGGTACATGCATTAATACATGAGTAGAACTTCTAGCTTTATATAATGGTCTTATACTCCGTCAATAACTTTCGCTTAATAATATGTTTGTGAAGGCTGATTCTAAGTAAATGATTCAAGCTATCTTGGGTCTCTCATCCTTGCTTTGGCCCTATACTTATCATGTGAGATATTGCTCCGCTTTAGTTTTAGGACATTCCCTTTCCCATGTGTATCAATAGTAAAATATTATGGTAGATAGATTAGCGTACCACGCACACTCTCTTACGAGTAAAAATATTTTTTTGTATTATTCTAGTTTACCCTTTGAGGTTAAATTGTCTATTAGATATGATGGACTCGGTTTCTATAATCATAAAAGTCAAGGTAGTTTTCTTTTCTTTTGTAACATGAGTTGCATTATTTTCTTTAGGGTTTAGGCTTTGTTATCCCCTAGTTTTGTGTAGGTAAGGCTGGATTATCCCCCTTGTATGTTTTTTTGTTATTAATAAAATTTATCAAGGTTTCGCCCTATTAAAAAAAGAAAAAAAAGAAAAAAGTAATAAATCCCTTATCCGGAACTCTAAACAGATCAATCATAAGATTTCTTAGTAATCATAATACTAGGTGATGACTCCAATCATTTTTGCCCATTTTTCTTCTTTTTTTTTTTTTTTCCAAATTCACCGATGGTTCCACCAACGTCGCCCCGTAACATCTAGGAAAATGACTAAATTAGGGGTATTGTGCCTTTTGGGCCCAGTGGGTTGGCTTGCCCTATTTCCTTCTTTAGAGTTTGGGTTGTGCAAAGTTCAGCCTAAGCTCGATCACACATAGGCTAGGTTGAAGCACAACCCATTCAAGCTTTCTTGCCTTGCCCTTCTCCCATTTTCTAAACCAAAATCCAACTCATCAATAGATTTCTAAAACCAATCCCAATTCTTCCTTAATCAAAACACTTAAATCACTCATCTTTCTCCCTTCTTTACTTCTTCTTTAACCCAGACTTCTTCTATAACTTCCATCGAGATCGAACAATCTCTTCTCCTTCCGCAAAGAAAAAAATCCTACACCTATTGCCTAGAAACCTCTCGATTTCCTCTTCTTCATCTCAAACCAAAAAACCCTAAGTTTTTCCTTTTGCCTCAGCCCAATTCATCTTCTTTCTCTAGCTCAATCAATCCCCTCAAATCCTTAGTTTATCTCATCTCTTAAGTTCTCATCTAAGAAAGACTAAACCTTTAACCAATTTCTCTCCTTCATTTTGTAGATCCCAAACCTTAGATTTATTTCCCGCCTTGAATCAGTCTCGATCTTCAAATAAAACTTAAAATTGAATAAGAAAACATAAAATCAAGCCTCTACGTGACCTTAAATCCCTCTTTTCTCTTCAATCTTACAAATCTCTTAGACGTAAGTCACATCTATTATCCCAATCTAGCTCAAAATCTTAAGCCTAAACCCAAAATTGAATGAGTAACCCTAAAATGTGACCTTCATGAGCCATCAAAACCCTCATTTCATAATACCCTCACAACATCAAGTATATTAATGATATAAATTAAAAAAATGCTTAATTTTTAAGAAAATCATAAACTATATACGTTTTAAGGATTTTAGCTTGTTCTTTAAAACATGTATAAAAAGGTCACTAACTAAGCCTCCGATAATAATATTGGCACCGATCCGATTTTCCGATCAAAATTTCAAACAATGTTAGCATGACAAGTGATGAAGCATGACGAATTGGACTTAATGTGCGACGTAGGATTTGCGTAAATGCTAAAGTGGCCTATTAAAAAAATCACTCAACCCAATTAAAAAAATCCCTAAACATAATTAACAAAAACCCTAACTCAATTAAGAAACCATAACAAAATTCCAAAACCTCGCCATTTGTGCTTAGTGTTGTCCCCCGCCTATCTCATTTCCCGACGTTATACAAACCCCTCCTCATTCTTTCTCATCCATCCTTCAATTTTAAAATCCTTCCTAAACTCTGATTCAAGTCTTCGTTATTACTACCTATTCCCTCGTCTACTTTATTTTGCTATCAATAGATTGCTCATAGTTTTTTTGTTTAGCTAATTAAAGAAAGATGTGTGATGGTTCAATTTTAGCTAACTTAATCCCTCATAAATGAGGTCGTTGTAGCATAGCTTTTATATTTTGGCCTAACTCCTCCAAGAAACTCAATCCCTTTAAGTCTTATCAAAGCTCACTCCATAATCGGGAGTCATTCATTCCTAAACAACCCTAACCATAACCCCAACCCACTTTGGGTATGTACTAGTTTCTCGTTTCATTTCTTGTTGTAGTTTTTATTTTAATGTTTCAAAGAAATTGATTTTGAATGTGGAATTGATTCAATAACGGAGGATCATAAGCAAGTGGAGAAGCTTAATGACAAGAGGTAGAGGAAGAATTTGTATAAAGGTATAAGGCAAAGACCTTAGGATAAATGGGTAGCGAAGATTCATGACCTAAGAAAAGGAGTCCATGTTTGGCTTGGTACCTTTAGCACACTAAAGAAGTAGCTCGAGCCTATGATAGAGAGGCTCATAAAATTCATGGCAAGAAATCAAAAGTCAATTTTCCTAATGAAGATGTTCATTACAACACCTTTTTTTAAGCCTCGAATACTCTATACCAAACCCCCACTTATAATTCCTCAAAAGGTTATGATTTTGGGTATGATTATGATGTAAACTAGATCGAAACCTACCCTTCTAGTGGTTTTAATAACGAACCCATTATTGCTTCTAAGAAGGATGATTCGGGTCCGGTTTAAATGAGGTAATTGGACTTGTGGGTTATAATTAGAATGTGGAGAGTAATAATTATACGGGTCGAGTAAAGATGGAAGTAGAAAATGAGGAGAAGGTGAAGAATAAAAAAGTGGTGATGGTGGATTTGGAAATTGTAGAGGAAGAAAGTGAGGTTCATAAGTCGACTAAGGAGTTAATGATGTATGAGAATTTCATGAAGTTTTATCGGATTCCTTATATAGATGGACAATCAATGGCACCAAATGTACTACCGAGGGAAGCCTTATGGGTAACCTTTGGAGCTTCAATGATGATGGTGTTGCTGCTCTTGCTTTAGCACCTCCAAACGATGATGGTAGTGTCTATCTTTTTCCTTTTTTTTTTTCCTAGTATTAGGCAATTTATGATTAATTATGCTTTGTTTTAATAAATAGGAATTTAACGTCTTGAATTTACTATCAAAATGTAAATTTTGTGAGTTAACTATCAATTAATGAAAATTTTATCCTTCAATTTTGTGTTTTTGCTTTCCATTTAGGAAGATAAGATTTTGAAGTGTTAAAATTTCTAAAATTTTACTTGTTTAGAATTTATGGAATTTTGGTTAGGTGGTGGCTAGGGATGAGAAAAAGAAGAAGAAGAAGAAAGAACTTTGTTATTGTTTTTTTAATTGAGTTAGAGTTTTTTAATTAGGTTTAGGGATTTTTTTTATTAGGTAGTGATTTTTTTAATAGGTTACATCAACGTTTACGTGGATCCTACATGGCACATTAAGTCCAGCTATCATGTTTCGTTATTTACCATGTCGGCATTGTTTAGAATTTTGGTCGAAAAATCGGATCGGTGCTAGTATTGTTATTGGAAGCTTAGTTAGTGACCTTTCTATACAAGTTTTAAAGAACAAGCTAAGATCATTAAAACGTGTATAGTTTGTGATTTTTTGGAACATTAAGCCATTTAAAAAGGGGTTTTGTTAATGGCAATGATGAGTTTTATTTTTCAATTTTATGAGATATAAAATATTTGTCTTTAATATTATTTTGGAAGTTAATATCCATCGACTAAGGAGCCAAAGGCAAAAAAGATTTCTATTTATGTTTTGATGGATCAGTGGACATAATCTAGTGACCCATTTTAGATTTAGAAACATGTTTGCTTGAGTTTGTGTTGGCTTTAATAGATAGCCTTTTTGTTTTTGTGTAATTTTTTGTGAATGTAGAGGAATGGGATGGTTTGTTTATAATCAACTTAAAGAGTGATTTATTTTAATTTTTCAAAATTTGATTTGAAAATATTATTGCTCGCATCGATAAATTTATAAGAGTAATTTAGTTTATTTTTTCCAAAATTGATATGAGAATTATTGTGGCCTTTATAAGTAAATTTATACCTTCGTCACTAATACTACACAAGTGAGAAAAATTAGATTGAGCTATTCAAGAGTGTTTAGTTGATTTGTGTAGAACAATTCTTTGGATCATTTACAACCATTACTTGTCCTTATTTAAAATGGGAAGGAACGGTTATTCAACTATCTATGAGTGTATGTGCATTTTTCCTAATATCGTTGCTTGTTTTTAGTTTTATGTAATGATTTTATATATATATGGAAAGGAAGGATTATTCAATGCTTACAGAGTTAGCCTTACCTTCATCTCTCTCTTCAATATATAATGTATTTCATGTATCTATATTAAGAAAATACATGAAAGACCCAAGTCATATTTTAAAGAATGAATCACTAGACCTCCAACCGGACTTGAGTTACGAGGAAGGACCGGTACAAGTTCTAGACCAAGAGGTGAAGCAATTGAGAAACAAGCAAATTCCTCTTAGTGAAAATGTTGTGGAGAAACCACAATATAGAGGAAGCAACGTAGGAGCGAGAGGAAGAAATGAAAGCTAAATATCTAGAGTTGTTTAATTAAGGAATTCCAAAGATAAAATTTTTGTAAGGAAGGGAGGATGTAATATCCTCGATCTAAAATCCTCCTTGAATGTAAATATAATGTAAGGATATTTTATTTAATTAATAAAGGAATATTTATTAAATATATATTAAAGATAAATTAAATACAAGTATGATTGTAATGGAAGGTTAATGGAATGAATAAGGTCGTGTTTGTTTAGAGGAAAACAAGTTCTAGAAACTTGTTTTTCTCATTTTTCGGTGTTTGTTTCGTGTTTAGGAAAAAAGTCAACAAAAAATGATTTCTAGTTAATGAAAAATGATATAATATTTTTGAAAAAAAGTTTTCCTAGTTAAAAAGAGGAAAACATTTTCCTTCTCACGAGCTATCTCGCTCTCGCGTTACTTACCTCTCTTTTGATATTTTTTAACAATTTTTTCTCTATCTTCTTTTTATTTAAAATATATCAAATTAATTTTTAATTATTCCTTATCAATTATTATTAATCATTTAATTATTTTTTCTCTATTTTGACTAATATTTGATTTATAGATATATTAAATATTCTTAAAAACTATTTTTATACCTTAAAATTTTCTTATAATAAATATTTTAATAATTTATCTCTATTTGTTTTACTATTATCTCAAACACCACCTAAACTATACTTAAATGATTGAAAATGATTATTACAAGCCTACAATTTTTTTTTTTTGTAAAAAATTTAAAATTAATTAATTCATTAATAAATATATTATTTTCCCACACACTATTCATTTGCAACTAAATCAATAATTTGTAATTTTAATCGGTTGTAAAATTTTATTGGTAATTGTAATGAATAATTAGTTACAAAATATTTCAACATTAATCTTTTAAAACCAATGAATAATTATCTACAAATGATAACTAATAATTTATAAAAATATTTTTTAGACTAAATTATCAGTTCAATTTACGAAAAAAAAAATTCTTAATTGAGTTATCAAAATAACAATGCTAGGATTATCGAGAATTTTTTTTAATGTAAATATTGACTTGATTTTGTCCCAAGTAATTTTGATGAATTGGTTGGATGGTTAAAAAAGTACATTTTATTTTTTGAATTAAAATTTTAGAGTCAATATTTATGAAAATTTATTAAATTTTTCTAATGATATTGTAAAATTATGAATAGGCCTTTATAAAGTTTTCTCAAAACTTGTTGATATAATAATCATATACTATTTTTATATCTTATTTTTTTGTATTAAAAAAACGAAGAAATATATTTTCTAGCAGCTTTTTTCATATAATTGCCAAACGGCGAGAAAAATATTTTTTGGAAAATAATTTTCTAAAAATTAGTTTCTTCATGAATTGATTTTCATATGGAAGTTATTTTCTCGCTAAACAAACGGAGCCTAAGGATTGAACTAGATAGTGATACTATCAATTGGCATGGCTATGCTTTGACATAGGGATGTAATTGTAATAATTAAAAGTTTGAGTACTTAATTGAAATAATTGAACAACTTTGGGACTTTAATTACAGTATGTGATACAGGTGGTAACATTCTTCCGTAATAAGGCGATGCTTTGAGATAATCCGGCTACAAAAAAGACTAGGAAAAAGAAATATTTCCCCGCACAAGCTTGATCATGTTCAACTACACAATCCCATCCTGGCACATAAATCTTTACCAACTGTCCATTTCCCTTTACAAAAGGAGAGGACATTATAAGACAGACAAAATGCGCCAAAACATCTAAACTATAAAACTTTGCTGTCAGGTTTAAGAAAAGGTCAAATAGATTTGTCCATTTGTTCTGTGATATGCTACTTAGCCTTCTTAAGGAGATTTGGGTGCGAAACATCATCCCTGATGAAACTCCACTTAATGTACATAAGAGGAAACGTGGTGGCATGCATGGGCATCCACGTATCCTTCATATGGAGGGAAATCATAGATTTATAAGAGCATTGCCAGACCACCACCCACAACTTCCAGCGAGAAGGGTGGCGAGTGACACCAGCCCAAATTGCCCAAAGGAGAAGCTAAGCAACTGCCATGACAACACAAACTTGCATGTTCCACCCTGTAAGATGTTAGGAATCTTGTCAGTTTCTTACTACATACTATGAGAAAACTTTCCGTTAGATGGAAGAAAGGCTTAATTAGTTCTTCAAGTCAAGTTAGTTATTAAGAATGATTTAAAATATCTTACGCATAAATCTTTGATCTAGAATAAAAGAAGACAAAAATAATGGATGCAATACCGTAGTCTAGTCTATAGAAGTTGAGGAATAGTATATGAGTAGTCAGAAATGCGAGTAGTGGAGCAGCAACCGTGACCCTTGCAGCCTCGTCCCTCACATTGAAACTTCTTAGTATAGACATAATTAATGAGAATCCTAAAAATGCCACTGTAGAAGAGTATCTAGTCTAACTTCTCTATCAAATCCACATCTCTGCATTCCAATTAATTAGACAATGCAAGATAAGAAATATAAAACTGAACGTGGTGAAATAAAAATGTTTCATGTATAAGTGGAAAACAAAAATGGAAAAGACAAAAAATAATTAAATTTGGAGCCGTTTTCTATGAAATGATAAAGGTCCTAGCAAACAAAATTCTGATTCAAAAGGAGAACCTCACCGGCTATGGAAAACAACACTCCAGAACCAGGAGTTCAATGATAAAAGCCCATAAATATGCCACAAAGAAACATATTCATAGTATGCCTTCTTATCTTTTTTTAGGGGCAACTTATAGTGGAGAAGAATGAAGAAGGATAGCCAACCATGGAAACGCATTGCAAGGTTAAGGGCAGATAAAGCAACAGAGACAGGCTCTTGAGCACATAACAATAGGTCATTAAGTTTAATCCAGAATAATAGGATTGACATCAAGCAACTAAGAAGAAAAGAAAAGACTAATGAGGATAGATCTACTAGAAACGCAAACTTGGATACCATATACACGTTTGAAGGGCCATTTACCATGGTACTTGACAGGACCATGACCAAGTGCTTTTCTTTCTTTCTCTCTATCAACCATACAATAATAACGACAACCACTCTGGCAATCCCATTGCTTCCATTGCAAATAAAAAGGTTCTTGCTTGTACCATGGACTACCAATGGAGACACCGTCTGAAGAATTATAGTGTGAAAAGCATCTTTACCCCACAAATCCAGATATTTCACACTGTCCAACACAAGTCCTAATTTTTAGAACATCCAAAATATTTTAGCATGCAAATAATGGAAATTATATAAGATTATAAAAATTATACATACGCGCAAAATTACTTGATTAAACAACAAATGATGAGAAGAGAATGCAACAGAATGTACAAAGGGCACATAATCAGGTTATTTTGGATAACAAAAACACTAATGGGGGTGCCCATTTCATAGAAAACTATAATCACTTAATTTGAACAAGATACTATAAAATCACAAAAAAGATACCAACATAAAACAGCTTGAAGGTATGGTGCAAAGGTTTGTGCGTATATCCGTCGCTACACGACATCAAACATGACTCCTAAAAAATTCTAAATTTTTAGAGATTTGTATCTAGTTTGTGGGTTGTTCTAGGGATGCAAGTTGTTATTGCATTTGGAGTTGTCACCTAGTATTGCGGGAACTAGAAACTTAAAATAGCACTCGGTGTAGAGATTTTAGGAAAAAGAGTTAGTTATGTTTTGGGAAGACATCGGTCACCCAAAAACGTCATTTCTTAAGAAAGGTACCACATCTAGTTCAGCCTAAACTCATCTCCTACGGTATTTTATTTGTGCCAAGTTATTTTTGATTTAAGCTCTAATTTTCGAGCCAATTTAAATGTCGGTGACTTATGATTTGGTGGGAAATCATTATCGATCCCTAAGAGTTTAGAAAACTCGACAATTCACCATTTATTCACTATTGATCTAATTATTGACATTTTTTAGGAGAAATTGTCATCGATCCCTAAGAAATTTGGAGACTCGACAATTCACTTATCTTTTGGTTATCTAAACTAATTATTGACATTTCGAAAAGAAATCGTTATCGGTCCCTAAGAATTTAGGAGACTTGACAATTCACCTATCTATTGACTATTAATCTAATTATTAACATTTCGAGGGAAAATTGTCATCGGTTCATAAGAAATTAGGAGACTCAACAATTCACTAATTATTGATATTTCGAAGAAAAATCGTCGTCGATCCTTAAGAATTTAGGAGACCCGAAAATTTGCCTATTTATTGCCTATGAATCTAATTATTGACATTTTAGGAAAAAACATTATTAGTCCCTAAGAATTTAGGAGACTCGACAATTCACTTACCTATTAACTACTAAATTAATTTTGAAACAAAATCCTAATAAAAAGAATTAACTATTAGCTTTTTTTTTTTTTTTTTTGTCAATGGAGAATTATCATCAATCTCTAAAAATTAGGAGACTCAATAATTCAACTATCCTTGGATTATCTAAACTACTTAAAAACAAAATTAAAATATATTATTTTATCTTATCTTATTTTATTTTTTGATAGAGAATCGTCATTAGTCCTTAAAGATTAGGAGACTCGACTAATTCATCTATCATTTAATTATCTAACATGATTATGGAGATAAAATTCTAAAATTAAAATTAATTAAAATTAACTAAATAAAATTTTAACAAAAACTAGAATATTAAAATCTAAAATTAAATAGGAAACAAGCTTGCATATGTAAACATTCAAGCAAACTTATCTAAAATAAAATAAATACATAAATAAATAAAACCAAGCAAACTAATTTTTTTGAATTGTGGACTCGTTAGGCTTGGGCCATCTGGATCGAGCCCAAAAGGCTAGACAATCCAACCTTTTGCTCTATGGTCGGGTTAGTTTAGTATTATTATTTTCTCTTTGAGTTGGATTAGACCTAACCCTCTAAGACCGAGCTAGACCGAAACCAGCCCGAGCAATTACTTAATATCGATTAGGCTTAGCTTGTTCCTATTTTCTTTGGGCTAATCCCACAAACACTTCCCGAACCTATTCTTTGTTTCTTTTTTGGATCAAACACCACTCACCTTCTCTATCTTCCGTGTTTGATTTTCTTTCTTTCTTTCTTTAAAAAAAGTATCAACCATTTCCACTACGATTCATCGATAACTTCTCAACTATCCTCCCTAACTTCTTTTTCGAGCCTAGGTTTTATCATCATTGTTCCTATACCAAAGAAAGACATAGAAGCAAACGTGACTTGGTGAACTTCATACAGACGACAGTGACGAGGTCACGATCACATATTCAACACATCAAAGAAAATAAATAAAACATACTTAGTAGAGAAATAATATTAGGATAGGTTCAAAGATTACTCGAGTGAAGATGAGTGTTCGAAAATGAAATAAAGGAGGGAAACAGTAGCTCAACTAAAAGCACTCGTATTATTCAAGCTCAAACTAACAATCCTCGTTTCGATTTCTAACCTTATGTTTATTTTTTGGTTTTCCTTTTTTTTTTCTTTCCTCCTCCCTTCTAGCTACCGACTTTTTTTCTTGTTTCTTTTCTTTCGTTTTCTTTCCCACTCTCTATTACTTATTACTCGGTTTTTTTTTTCACTTTCTTTCCTTTATTTTTTTACTTGTTATTTTTTCTACTCGCTTAACTTATTGCACTCTGTTTTTCGCTCTTTTTCTCTTCCCCTTTCATTCATTCCTCGCTACTATTTTTATATCTTAGAATTTGTTAGTTTCCCACCATAATGGTGAGGGATTTTACAAGAGTTGTGGGAAAGGTTATGAAGAGTGGAATGGTGGGCAATTACGGGGGTTGTGTGCTAATCGAGAGGAAGTTTTATGGAGAGTGGAATGGTGTGGAGTTGTAGGGGTTCCGTGCCGATCGTGGGGAAGTTTTACAATTGGGATGACTTGCTTTGTTCATCCTATCACCGAAAATTTAGTAATGACAATTGCTTCCTCTTTACAATACTCATGAAAAAATACGAACCGAAGTATGAACTTCGGCATGTATTTGTTTCGTGAGTTTGTCAAGAAAAGAAAAGAGTAGCTTGAGAAGCAAAAATGATCCGGATGTGCTAATTGTTCCAATCGAAACTAAAAATGTAGTAGCCTCATTATGCGGGATAACTTACCCTTGAACACTAAAGTGCGGTACATGAAAAATTAAATATACAATACATGAAAAATTAAATATGCGAGTATATGGCCATGTTCATTTAAGGTGATCTCGCTTTGAAAAAATAAATATGCGATTTATGAAAAATTAAATATGCAATACATGGTCATGTTTGTTTAAGGCGGTATGTCTTGAAAAAGTAAATATGCGAGTGCATGAAAAATTAAATATGCGGTATATGACGATGTTTGTTAAAGGTGGTCTACCTTGAAAAAGTAAATATGCAATGATTGCTAAGCAACCTTGATTGAAGCGATGAGTTGGATTTGATGATCTTTCCTAAAAGTGAGAATTGACCATTGACTTTTGGGTTTTGCACTTGGGCGATGGTCTATTGTGAGGTGATCTTACCCGAAACAAAACTTGACATTATGGTTGATTGAGATACCCGTAAGAAATATACGATACCCCGCTCAACTCCCCTCCGACCTTTCTCTTTTGGTTATCAAATTATCGACGTTGGATCGTGATTTATGATCCGAGTACTATGATCTTTCCCCCTAATCATTTATTGAGATAAACTCGATCCTTTTGTCTCATTAAAGGCGATAATTGTTCCCTTTTATGATCAATTGCTTAATTGATTTTTTGCACCTAATAATATCATGTTCGATACATGCTTTCTTTTTATCGACTTTCTTTGTGACTTAAGGTCGCATATGTATCTCAAAATTTTTGACACTTTTGTATTTTATGAATCCCTCCTTCATAAGGAAAGCTAGCTAGATTTCAATAGGAGATCTCGAGTTCCAAATTCGAGCACATCTATGTGTATACTTCGAAACTTGCCATGCAAATGATATGATATGATCAAATTTATGATTTTTATTTTGCATTTATGTTTATATGAATGACTGGTTTATGAAAAGAGTTCTAAAATTATGAGAAAAAGGATGAGCTCCATCCCTTGGGGATTATTACACTTTGGTACCCGAGTGTGATTTCACATGACATGTATATTGATTTTGACTATCTGTTTTTTTCATAAAATTCTATCATGGCTACTTATAAACAAAAACTCATTTGACTAATAGGTCGTCTTTAGTTAGAAAAGGGCTTTCATTAGCACATAATGTAGGTTATGACATTGATTTCTTGAAGAACGGGTAATCATAGCTCAAATGGTGTTTTAGGGTTTTGTTGACATAGGATCACTTTGTAAACTTTTTTTTTTTGTGGACATGTCTGATGTCTATGTTTGGTTATCTTAACCTCGCCTTCTCTTTTAACATTTCATAATGGATATTATGATACGGATCAAACTCTTTACCATGTGATAGTTGTTTTTTGAAGAGAGAGTTTGACTTTATCATAATCCTCTCTTTTGAATTTGAACTTTTGAGTTTTTTTTTAAAGCATTTTATGTAGTAACATGTTTTTATTGTCAAATAGTGTCCTTGATGATGATTTTTTTTTTTTGATAATTTTGAAAATCTCCTTTTTTATTTTATAATCTTTTTGGCTTTTTTCCCCTAGTGTGGGGGTGATCTAGTCCAGGTTATTATGAAATGAACAAAAGACTCAAAATTAGACTTCAAAGGATAGACTTGATTTTAAGTAAGATAAAGTTTTCAAAGATGGCATTTCCTCATTTTAAAGGCAAACTACATAGTTTGATGAGACTCATTCTAATGAGCTTCATGATAGGATGATGCTTAGATAGGATGTAT